GAGCCCGCCCGGGCTCCGCCTGCTGCTGGGGGCGGGGCCGGGCCGCAGAAACGAAACCCAGGGCTTTTAGAACTGAACCGAAACAGAAAGGAAAAGCGGAACTGGACTGGTTCCAGAAGCTTTGGAGGCGGCCGGGGTAAACCGGTCGCAGGTCGAGTCCAGCGCGCAGCCGAGCTGAGAAAGGCGTCCCCGCCGGCGGTGCCCGAACTCCTGGAAATGGCTGTCGAGGAAACACCGCGGTTCCAAAGAGCTCCGCGACCCCTGCGGCCTGGAGCGCGTTTCGCAGAGTTTTGTACTGCTACCCAGGGAGCTAGTAGTCAGTCAGGCCATAGAATTGCAAAGAAACTGTGGGAAGGAGGGATCCCTCCAGCAAACTGTGTCTTACGGGGTCCTGCTTTATGTTAATTTTTTTGTTGCTTTTTTTTTCCCCCTCTACAGTTTCTGGCAAAAAAAATCATAAGTAGTGTTTTGTTTCTGGCCTGTTTTACTTAGTTCAGTGCTTTGAACGTTGTCTTAGTAACTTTTCTCCTTGCTGATACAAAATACGGACACCCAGAGTTAAAGGAGGAAAGGTTTGTTTATTTAGCTCACAGTTTGTAGAGGTTTCAGTCCGTAGTCACCTGGCTCCAAGGCAGGGTGGCACGTGGAAGAGGGGCAACGTAGAGGAGAAACAGTTCTTGGCAGCCAAGGCAGCAAAGCAACAAGGGAGGATCACAGCTTTTTCTATCCCGTATAGCTTACTCAGGCTAGTTAGGGCTGGTAGCACTCACACTCCTAATCCTAGTGCCCTTGATCCTACACACTGTAGATCCATCCACCTCTGAAAAAGCTCCACCTATGTCTGCATGAGGCTGTGTGTGTGTGTGTGTGTGTGTGTGTGTAGTATCTAAACACAAGTCATAACAATAATCCTGTTGTGTCAGTAGTCCCTCTTGTTGCTAAGCTGTATGCCAAGATATGGATATACCACCATTTATTTATCTACTCATCAAATGATGTTTGTTAGTCCTTTCTTGCTTTTGTCTACTGTACTGTGAATAGAGCCTCTGTGAACAGTTGAATGCTATGATCTACGAGTGTCTTTGTACGATACTGCCACACTTTTCACAAGTGCTGTGCCATTTTGCATTCACTCCAGCAATTTATGTGAGTTCCAGTTCCTCTGCACTTATGCTGATAGTTGATATTGTCAGTCTTTTTCATTATTACAAGTGTAATAGTTCTAATTTTCATTTTTCTAAGAACTAGTGACATTGAGCATCTTTTCCTGTATTTATTTGCCATCACTATTTCTTCTTCGGTGAAGTGGTCTTACAGGCTTTTGAGTCCCAAAGAGACGTTTTCCAGGCTCTTGGTGTCCTGAACAAAGAATGGCAGAAGACACACCGAAAAGCTAGTGAGGGTTTACATTGACCGAACGTGGAGAAGAAATATGTCCTGAAGAGTGAGAGTGAGCTGGTTAAAAAGGCTCACAGTGGCTGTGAGTGTAAAGGAGGGCAGTCTTTAGTCTGCAATTGGCTTCTCCCATGCAAACAAGGCATTTGGAACAATTGTCCTATCAGAAACTCACTTGGCCTGGTGACAGATTTAAACTGTCCTGATGAAGCCTCACATGGTTTGTGCCAGGTGTAAATGAAGAGTTCTAGAGAGCACCTTCTGATTGGTTCTGTGTACAACCTTCGGGAACTGCAGTCATCTTGGAGTCTGTGCTTTGCGGATATGTGCTGAGTCTCCTGACTGACACATTATGCTCACTTGCTTGACTGGCTTTGCCCAGGCCCTAATTTCCTACCTTAGTAGCTATTCAGATCTTTGCTCACTTGTTAATTCCATCGGTTGCCTTATTATTTAAGGTTTTATACTATGTCGATTATTAGGTATATATTTTTGTAAGAAATAGAAATTTAAATTGGCCTGTTTTCAAGATAAAGTCTGAGTGGAAAACTACTAATAGACAAAATTGCCTACTTGTCTGTAGACATAACTAAGGCCAGGCATCGATAAAGTCAGGCTTCACAATGCTAACTCTGACTGAAAAGTACTGACAGTTAAGAAGTTACCCACTGGTAGTTTAATCATTTGCCTTTAAATCCACATAATGTTTGAGAGAGAGTGCATCAAGGATGTGGGTGGTGATCAGGAAGATTGTACCCCCTTGGGCTCAGCCAATGAGGACAGGTGAGTGACCTGTACACTAGGGTTACATTACTCACTGTAACTGCCCGGGTTGTGCCTGCTTGCTTGTTAGGCTGGTGCCCACACTTGCAAGGTGGAGAAATAGTCTCACTTTCCCTGCATTCTCCCAGTCCTCGGTCTGATCTGTCATTTGCATAAAATCAAGAGACCAGGGGGACCTTCTTCCCCACATTTTGAAATTTTTCTTCTAATCTTTGACTTGCCTTTTCATTTTATGCACATTGTCTTTTTTCTCTCTGAGTTTATTGGTACATTTTAGGTGTACAGTACAATTACATTCACCATTGGGATCTTGTACCTTTACATGACAGGTCTTGGTTCTCATTTTTTCCCCTTATCCCTGCCCTCCCTTCACTCCCCCTCCTCATTTACAAACACTTTATTTCCATTTTTTCATTTTCTCATAGTTTTTTCTTTCCCCTTATTTCCTTTCCCCTACCCTTCCCACTTTCCCTACACCTTTAGCCCTTTTCTTCCTATTTCATATTGTCAATTATATCATTAGGATCTTATATACCATTATAGTTTTTCACACCAGAGAAACTATTAGGTATTTACACATATATGACTTATTTATTTCACTTGAGTATATCCTCAATATGTATCCATTTTCCCATGTATGAATGACTCTAATTTTTCATTCTTTATGGCTGAGTGATACTCCATTTTATAGAAAACCCACATCATCAGTTTCCAACTGATGGGCAAATGGGCTTTTTTATGCACATTGTCTTTTGCTCAGTGGAAAACAAGATTTTTCATTGATTTTCAAAAAGCTTCATAAATGTAGCTAATTGCTATAATTCAAATGAATTATTCTTTAATTGTGAGGAAAAGGTAGAGATTCTTTTTTCTTCCATACAGATATCTGGGTTTTCAACTTACCCATCTCCATGGAGTGTCCTTGGCATCTTTATGAAAATTCAGTTGGACATACATGATTGAGTTGACCTCTAGATGTTGAATTCTGTCCTTTATGATCTACTGAACTATATTTCTATCTTTATTCCATTACCACATTGTCTTGTTTACTGTACATTCAAAATAACTTTCAAAAGTCTATTCGTATAGGTGCTTCAACATTATCCTTTTTCAAAATCTTCTTGGCTGTTGTGGCCCCTTTGTATTTCCATATATACTTCAGAAAGAGTTCATTAGTGTCTATAAAATGAGCCGCTAGGAGTTTGACTGAGATTACCATTTTCTTAGGAAAGAAGTAACAGAAGGGAACTTCCCATGCTAGCAGGTACTGGAGAAAACTGCTATGCTGCTTTAGTGTGTGAACAAGAAATATTTTTATCAATTAAGTTAAAGCTTCTTTGATTTCTTTTTTTGTTTGTTTTCTTTATCTCATATTTACTCCTTTCTCTTCTTTCCTTTCCCTTACCCCTCCTTCATCCCCTTCCCCTTTGGACTTTTTTGTCCTATTTCACATGATCTGTTATACATTTTGATCCTCATTTACACTTTCAGTTTCTCACAGCAAAAAAGCTTCTTTAATTTCAACAATATTTTATAGTGTCGATGTATGACGTATTTTTATTAAAACTGTCCTTAGGTAGTTATTTTTTTTTTGGTATTGCAAGTGATATTTTTCAGGTATGAATTTATGATTGTGATGAGTATATAGAAATACAATTTATTTTTATAGGTCTAAGACCTGGTTTTTTTTTACATACTGAGCATCGAACGCAGAATCTTGTGCATGCTAGGCAGGTGTTCTACTACTGAGCAACCTTCCCAGTCCAGGCCTATTTTTCTCCTTTTCTATTGGTAAATAGTACTCTTTTCAATTTCAGTTATGATTTTGGTGAGTATATAGGCATAAAATTGATTTTTATATATATCTTTTATATATCTTAAATCCTGACTTCTGTATTTACTTAATAGTTCTAGTTTTTTTGCAGATCTTTTAGAATCTTCTACACAGATGATAGCATAGTCTACAAATACGAGTTTTACTCCTTCCTTTCTCATCCGTGTGACTTTTCTTTGCTC